GTCCCGCACCCCAGCAGAGAGGGCAGGAGGAGCCAGCCACCGAGGCAGGGCACAGCCGTGCTCAGACGAAACCCACTGGCCATCAGGGCTCATCCACAGCAGTTGGGATCCCCTTGGTCCTGGACGGAGGCTGGAGAGCAGCTGGCTCTCACCGCCTGGGGAGGGAAGCCCTGGAAGTACGCCCCAGGCAGAGGAAGCGGGGCCAGGCATCTGAGTTAGTGCTACGTGGGAGAGTTGTACGGCTGTACACCACGTGTGCAAGCTGCACTGACACTGGTGGAAAGGAAGACCGCAGTGGTGTGCCCGTACCCTGGCTGTCCGTCTGTCTGTAGCTCACGCAACACCCCAGGAGCCAAAGGCAGGCAGGCAGGCCGGGTTTTGCAGACACACAGGCTCTCGCCACCTGCAAGCTGCCCGCGGGGCTCGGTCCCGGGTCTCCCATCCGGGCTGCGCGCTCAGGGCCGTGTGGCACGCGCACGCCGCAGGCACACACATTCCAGCACACGCTGGAGAGGGACCGGCTGGTCCCCGCCGCCGCGCTGGGCCTCCCCACCGCCCCCAGCCCACCCCGGCCAGGCCGCGGCAGCATTCCCGGCGCATTGCTCTCATTCCAGGCGTCACGTGGCTCGCTCTCCTCCTGCCCGGCTCTGCAGGGAAGGGGGCAAGCCCTGGCAGGAGGAGGGCAGGAGCTCTGCGTGCCCTCGTCCTACATCACACTCCGGCTGTCCGGCACGATACGAATTTTCATTTCTCCCCGGGAGAAACTTGACAATCTTCGCGTTCTCCTATGCCCGAGGAAGGGCGCGTGTGCCTGAAAGCTTGCAAATAAAGGAAGTTGGGTTTTTTGCAACTGTCTAGTTGGGCTAATGCAAGATATCATCTCTACCACCCTGACTGCTTGCCTTGGCAGCACTCTCAGAGGAAAGATGCCAAGGGACATACCTGATGGCCAGAGGCCTGGACCCAGGCTGCAAGCAGTGCCCTGCCCTCGTTCTCCTGGGCCCCCTGCCCCTCCTCTCCCACCTGCCTTACCCCCTGCTAGTAACCTCCCCCTGCTGCCTCTGGCACCATTGTGGGGCCCAGAGCAGGCAGCCCTTGGCTCACACGCTGCATCACTCATGGGGCAGCACCAGCACGGCCTCAAAAGCAGGGGCTTGAAAAAAAAGCATTCCTTGTTTCTTTTTAAACCAGCCTCTTTTGTTTCTGCATCCTGGTTTCCAAGCTCCTGTCCTCCCGCTCTGCCCGGCAAGGCCTAGAGGCTGCCACAAATGCTAAATAGGGAGAGCCCGGGGATGGAAATGCAAGAGCTGGGCACTGTGGAGCCTGCCTCTGTGGCACTACCCCAGCTCGCCATGGGAGGGCACTGGGCACAGCTGTAATGGGCACAGGAGTTGTCCGGACAGTGCACAGGCATGCACCCGGCCTTTGCAAGGGGCACAGGGCTTGCAACATGCGAAGACAAGGCCCGGGGCAGGTGACGTACCTCGCCACACCTGCATCGTGCACACACGCATAGGTGTGCACACATCTGCAGATGCTTCTCTGCACCTGGAACCTGAAGTATCCGGGACAGGTATCTGGCTCAGACACTCGCCCAGGCCAGCCCAGTGGCTCGGATCACCTGTACCTGCTGCAGCTCCATCTTTCCTTTACTTCTGGCCATCGCTGGCCATCCTGGGAGCCCCACTGTGTAAGGCAGGACAGAGCTGAGCCCCTGCCCTGGGACCAGAGACTGAGGCATGGGTGGGACTCTGCTCCGCTGTGCCTCGTGGAGCAACGTGCCAGAACACAGCGGTGGCTCCTAGACCTTCCTCCCGGCCGATGGGATGCCTACGGTGTTTGCTGCACGGGCCAGGGTGGAGTAGGGCCTGACCACCCTGTGCCCTGCCCTCCAGCTCTGCCAGCACCCTCCAGGAGCGCTCCGTGCCCACGGGGGTTGCACTCCCTCTTCGGCTGGCCTGGCACGGCGGCAGCAGAGCTCACAAGGGGTTAATCATTCCAGTGCCTAAGTGGCTCCAGATGTGCTGGAATGACTGGGGTGACCGGAAGCGCCGCTATTCGCATTCACACTGGAGCACGCAGCTGCTTCCACCAAGGCACCAGGCAGGAAGGGCCGGAGCTGGGGGGAGCCCCCCAAAGCCTGGAGGAGAGTCAGGGATGCATTTCAGCCCCCGTCTCCCTGCAGACTAATGGGATCGTCCCAGAGCAGAATGGGCACAAGGCTCCTGTGCCCCTGGCCTGGGGGCAGCATTAGCCCCCAGAGGTGGGGACCAGAGCTGCCCATTGCCGTCGCACTGGGGGGGCTCTGGGTTGGCCTCTCTGGGGTGCCTCGTCGCCGCACCGCTGGGGCCCACCAGTTGCTGCGATAACCAGAGCCGCGGGACACGGTGTCTCTGCATGGTGACAAGAGCACATGCATCAGGGCTTCATGTTGCATCAATTCTCACCTGGACAAAATGGTCCGGGTAGCAGCCCCGGGCACCTGACATCTGTCTCACGGCCTGAGGCTTAGACCCCCACCTCCTGGGGAGGAGAATCACCCAGGACAACTCTCTGCGGGTGTAGCTTGGCGGAGCGGAGAGGAATCCCCCTTTATTTAAGTAGCCAGGGGACTGGCAAGGCCCAGGTGCAGCCCAGGTCCCTGGTGCAGGCAGAGGCCAGGAGCACCTTAGGCCCCGTGGGCACTACTGAGCTCAGCATCCCTGGAACAAACCCCAGAGCTCGGGCGTAACTAATCCCTCCGAGCATCACGGCTGGCCGGAGGTCTCTTACACCAGAGCAAAGGGAGCTAGCGAGAGCAGGCAGCCCCTCTCCTCCCACAGATGTGGCTTACTCCGGGCTGCCCGGCTCCTGTCCCGCAGCGCCCGCAGCCCAAACACCGAGTTCCTAAACAACGCGACCTTGGACAGGCGCGAGGGATGCAGCAACAAGGACTCGGAGCCGTTTGCAGCATGCACCAGGCCCTCCTCAGCACGCCTCGGCCTCTACGATGGCTACGACGGCAGGCCCTTCCCGAAGCCCCAGGGTAACAGCCCCCTGCCCTCCTCCCGAGGGGCCTCAAGACCCTGCTGCCTTTGCAAGGGATGGCTGCGGGGGCACATCTCGGAGACCCCAGCCTGCCCATGGGATGGAGGTGACCCCAGGCTCTTGGTACCGGGCAGCTGTCCCGTCAAACGGCTTGTGGCTAAAGGCAAACAGCCCCCACCCTTTCCATCCTGCCACCCCACAGGGCTCGCCTGCAGCAGCTGGGGGGAGGTTTGAGGCTGTACCTGCCCCCCGAGGGCCCTGGGTCTGTCCCTCCCAGCTTCTCCCCCCACCACTCAGCATGCCACGAGCAGCGTCCCGTCTCAGAAAGGCCCCCAGGACGTGTCTGCCTTTGCAGTCCCTTCTCGGCACCCAGGGCGGGTGGTCCGAGGGCCTTTCCTTGCCTCCGAAAGGAATGACTCCCCCGTGCAAATAGCAGGGGCACCCGTGCAGGTCCCTCGGCGCTGCTCCGTGCCACGTTTCTGGCTTCCCACCAGCCCGTTCACCTCCATGCAGGCTGCCACAGGAGCCTCCCCGGTGGCTGCCCCTGCCCTGGGCTAACCCTGCACCTCTCGCCTCTCGCTCCCTTCTGTCACGGGCACCAAAGGATGCTGCGCAAGCACAGCCTCATTGTATGGTAACAGCTCGGGGTTTCCCCATGGACAATTCCTCCCCCTCTCCCATCAGCAGTCTCTGGATAAGCCGTCTCCACTTGGCTTGTCATCAAGGAGAGGAAGAAGATACTGAGATAACTGGAGATAAGCAGCAACTTCTGAAACCACGGGGGTGGCAACTCATCCGCCGGCTCGACTGGAAACCATCCACCTCGCAAAGGAAAATGGTGCCTCCAAGCTGCCCTTCGCCTAAGGAGCACGCAGCCTGTACCCAGGCTGCTAAATATTTTTGGAGAAGGGCAGGGGAGGCTTTAGGAAGGGCTTTTTGGCCTGGGGAGATGTCTCGGGACAGCGTTGCCGGCACAGCTTTGTGGCGTTCTCCGCCAGGACGCTCTTTTGGGATTCGGAGCGTCGTTTGGCGACCAGTTTGAGACACAGAGAAGAGTTGTTTCCAGAGAGAGAAACCTGAGGCCGAGCACGGGGGGATTGCCTTGGGGTAAAGGCACACCAATGACGTGCTGGGCCTGGGAGGCACTAACCTACGCTGGACCCGATGAGCATTTCCCAGGTCGGCTCAGTGGATTGTCACGTGCTCGCAACATGTTTTTATTCTCTGGGCTTTCCCAGGATATCCTGGTGAAACCAAGGCCTGAAACCAGCTCCAAACTCACCCACAAAAGGCTCCGCTAAGCCATAAACTCACCCAAAAAAGTGTCCAGCTATGGCATCAGGCTGCCATAGGTCAATCCCCCTGTAGACAGACCCCTGTGCTAGAGCACTTGGGGAAACCCCCTGCATTTGTGCAAATTCGCCTCCCTTCCCGAAGCTCGGGGTGCACGTCCAGACTCAGAGCGAGAGGGCCCTTGTTTGAATCCTGCGGCACCGAACCAGTGTCCACATGGGATCCCGGCGCTGGGGGGCTAACCCGCGCTCCACCGGCAACTTGGGCTCCCTTGCTAGCCCTGGTCCCTGGCCCTGGAAGGACGTGCTCGCCTTCCTCACGGGGCTGTGCCAGCCGAGCGGGAGTGGCGGTGGGCCATCGAGCCCGCACGCAAGGGGCTGCACGCCGACGGGCCCGGGTGGCGGCTGGAGAAGCACGGCGGCCGGCCCAGCCTGCTGCCAGGGGCTCAGCCTGCACGGTGCCAGCTCCGGCCAAGAGCCGAAGGGAATGTGTGGAGTCAGTCGAGCGCAGGCCTTCTCGAATAAAAACATGAGTCAGCTGCTGGCGTGGGCAGCGGATTCTCTAAACATCCCCTCATATCCTGAGAAAGGGGAAAAATGGGAGGGGGGCTGGAAGCAAAGGGAAAAAAAAAAAGGAAAAAAAAAGGAGGAGGCAGGGAAAAGAGCCAGAATTGAAAGCAGACGCGGAGAGCGGAGCTAGAGCCAGCCCAGCCCAGGGAGGCAGGGCAGGGCAGGGGCTGCTCCCCGGAGGCGGCTCGGACCTGCCCCTTGCGCTGGATGCTCCAGGCGGGACAGAGCTCGGGGGCAGCCCTGGCCGGACGGGGAAGGGCTCGGGCCGCGCGGGCTCCAGGTAAGGGCGCTCGAGTCCCCCCCTCACCCCCCAGCTCTTGCAGTTAACTCCCTGCGGCCGTGCAACTCCCCAGGTTTGGGATTGCAATGGGGAAAGGGACCCTGCTGTCTGCCCGGGCTGGAAGTGGCTCCGCTGCAAGTCCCCAGGGAGCTGGTTGTATAGGGGGAAGTGGGTGCCCCTGGCAGGGGGCTGGGGGGTTGCATCCAGAGCCGGGCAAAAGGGGCAGGCACCCCAGAGTGGGACTGAGGCAGCAGGGTGGCACCCCGGGGTGAGAGCCAACCTCCCCTCTGCAGGGCTGGGGTGAGGGGGGCTCTGCCCCCCTTTCTGCTCCTGTCCCAGTGCCCCCAGCTGTGCCAGGTGCAGTGGGGGCTGAGGGCAAAGGGGGGAAGAAGCTCCCAGGCTTCTCCCATCACCCCAGCCCTGCAGAGGGGAGGTTGACTCTCACCCTGGGGTGCCACCCTGCTGCCTCTGTCCCACTCGGGGGTGCCTGCCCATGGCTTGCGGGCGATGCCAGCCTGGGCATGGACAGCAACCTCCAGGAGCCACAGGGTGGGCTGTGGAGGGGTCACTCTCGGTGACAGCAGGGGGAACGGGACAGGAGAGCTCCAGACACCACCCCCGAGTGCAAGCCTCTGTGCTGGGCATCGGCGCCTCGGCCCAGGCTCTGCCTCTTAGAAAGCAGCTCCGCGGGTGCCCGGCTGTCAGGACGGGGCTGCAGGTACCGCGCTGTCCCCCAAGGCATTTTGTCAGGGCCCCGTGGGAAGACGGGGCTGTGCTTGCTCCCCGGAGCAGGGTGGCTCCTCAGTTGTGCCCTTTGGTCTCTCCGCTGGCCCCACAGCAGGGCAGTGCCGGGTCTGCGGGCGACCTGGAGGGAAGTGAAGGCTGGCAAGCCTCCGGTGCTCACTCTAGGAAGAATTTAAGCTTGTGTTTGGGTCCCGCTGACTGCAATGTGAGGCCGGCTTCCCTGTGCAGACAGGCGCCCCTCTGCCCAGGACTTCCCTGGCACCATTCAGTGGGACCTTGGCAACCCTGGCTACGTCCATCCTTGTTTCACGTGGCCCTCGGTGTGGGCCTTCATGTGAACGACTGCTGTGCTTGCATTAGCCAGGGAGGCACAGGACCGCACCTCCCTTACTTGAAATTTGCCCCTTGCGGCGTCCAGGTGAGCCTTCGCGGATAATGTCGGGCAGCTCGGGTCTCTGGCGGAGCTGCAGCTTGAGGCTCGGGGTAATCCCGGGGGGCAGCAGCTGGAGCAGAGCTCTCGCCGCTGCCGGGACCCGAGAGCACTCCTTCCCGGGTGGCCTGGAGATGTGCAGCGTGGCCAGGTGGAAGGTTTCTTTCACAGCCATCGGCCTCACTAGAAAGCCGCATTCTGGTGCATTTTAGGTCGCAAAAGCCCATCAAGTCGGGGCGAGAGCCCCAAAGGAGGCCGAGCCGTGTGATGGGACCTTGAATGAGTTAGTGCTTCTGAACCCACTCATGGGAAGGGGCCCGGATGCACTGCCCAGCCTCCTCTTGGAGAGGAGGGACTTTTCACAGGGGAGCTTTGCACCTTTGCTGTTTGAAAAGACAGACCTTGAGTGGGAGCATTTCCCAGCTCAACGGGCGAGGAAAAGGCTCTTCTACCCAACACCCATCCAGCATCCCAGAGCGGGTGGCCTGTGCTAAGCGGCTGGGTGTCTCTGCTCAGGTGGGCAGCAGAGAAGGGGTGAATGGTGTTGCCACTTAAATTTGGTCGTTAGGGACTGAGGGTAATCCTCCAGGGAGCTGAATGGATGGCACTTGGCGGTCACCTGCCCTGGGACTGTCGCAGCGCTGCACAATCCATGTTTCATTTGCAGTCGTGAGCGTAAAAAACTGAGGCCAAAGTTTTCCAAGGAGGTGGGAGTGTTTGAGCGCCTCCAATCTGGGGGCACTCAGCTGAAGATGGTTGTTGATGGTCGTCTGGTGTAGAGCTTAGATTATGGTTTTTATGGGATGCTTTGCATAGGGGTGATCCTGCCTGAAGCAGGGGGCTGGACTCGCTGACTCCCTTCCAGCCCTGCGGCTCCACGCCGCTGGGAAAAGCAGCCTGTTATGCAGAGTGCTGAGTGCCCCTCTGACAGCTGAGTCCCTTGCTGAGGTCTGTATCCAAAAACAGAGTCATGCCACTGTAGGGAGTCGCGGTCCCACATGTTCGGTGGCTGGGAACCAGGGGTTTCTGCAGACCTCACCTGCTCTGTGCTCATTGCCTGTGTGATCCCACCAGAAGTGGGAGCTCAGCCACGGTGACTTCTCCTCCATGCAGGGCAAGGGACCGCACAGCTTGGCTCCCTCTCAGGGTAGGTCTGAGCATGCAGAGGTATCACCGGGCGGCTGCCACACAAGAAGTCCCCGTCCCCCCCATCAAGTCTCCCTATGTCCATGTAAGTGAGAGCCGGCAGGGCAGGGGGAAGGCTGGGAAGAGCAGCACACAGCGCCCCAGTTTCCCACGTGTCCCCAGAGCCACGTGGAAGGAGGATGGGGAGCAGAGAAAGGCCTCCTGCCTGAACTGCCGCCGGGAGGTGAATCTGAGCGATAAGCGAGGTGCAGGCAAGGAAGAGGGAGTCCAGAGGGAAGCACCAGGAGGGATGAGAGGTTTACAAACCTGTTTAAAAAAAAAGGTTGGAGGAACTATGATCCTTTAGTCTAGAAAAGAGAGGACTGACATGAGACGTCTCCCCCTTATGTAAAAGGTGGTAGAGAGGACAGTGAGCTGTTGTCTGGGATTTCCATTTTGGATGTCTACCTTGCTGGGATCCTATGACCCCGGCTGACTTCCTGCCCCTTGGGCGGGGGCTGGACTCCATGATCCTCCGAGGTCCCTTCCAGCCCGAATGTCTATGAATCTATGACAAAAAGAAATCGATTTTATTTGCGACACAGAAGATTTAGGCTGGATGTCGGAGAAGCATCCTCAGCTAGAAAACCTGGATCCTCCCTCCTTGGAGGCTTTTATGAGTGGGTTAGATGACCATGGGCCGGGGCAGGTCTCTAGATGTATTCAAACCTGCCTCCATGCAGGGGTTGAGCTGGATCATTTATCGGGGCTCCCATCCAGCCCTACATGTCTATGGTCTGTAGCCTGCAGCCGATGGCAACCTGGTGACGGGAGCTCAGTTCCCCCATTCAGGTCTGACCTGGGTTGCAGGGTCCTGGAGAAGGATGGCCCTTTGCTCCTGCTTTTTGGCTCCTACCTGCTGCAGCTGCATCACAGGCTCGCCTCTGCCCTGCAAGCAGGGAGGTGACATGGAGATGAGGGAAGAAATATCCAGCCCCATCTGGGGACAAAAGTCCAGAGGCTTCACTGTGCAGACATACAAAGCTGGAGTCTGGAGTCACTGTACCAGCCTAGTCTGCCCGTGGCCTGTGCCACGGGCTGTCGTGGGGATTTGGCCCAGTGTCGACCAGAGTTCAGGGACTGCCCTGGCTCTCGGTTTGGGACGGGACATCAGGAATGCGAGGGAGGACTGGGACCGCGGTCTCCCGGGAGCAAATTTGTTTTTCACCTGCTGTTTGCAGCCCTGGGACAGGGTCCCCGGGAGACGATCTTGGAGGGAGGCTGTAAACTGGGCAAACTGTAAACTGAGAGGCTGGAGCAGCTCCAGGAGGCTCCTTCCGTTCTGTCAGGCAAATAGGACATAACAAGTTCAATTTTCCTCCCACCCCCAATGCCTAATTAGGCTCCCTGAGGCCAAGTTCCCCTCGGCCCTCCTCCACTGCCCACCCCCTGCCAGGCACTCTTGTCTCCAGAGCTGCCCCCTCTTCCAGGAACCGAGCGGCACAAAAACACTGCTTCTTGTTTGCAACGCAGCCGGAGGCCGAGTTGTGGGTGTGCAGCCCCGAGCACACAGTCGGATGCGGCACCTGATCCAAATAACTCCCAGCCAAAAGGGGCAGTGGAGTAGGATCCTCTCTGTTTCAGAGGCCCAGCAGGGTGAAGTGACTGGCCCAAAGTCACACAGGAGGGCTGTGGCAGAGGAGACCAAGCGGGCGCGTCAGCCTTGAGCGAAGCAGGCGGGGGCTGGCATGGAGGGACTGGGAGTGCTGAGGGCAAGGGGGACCTCATCGCACTGCATGATCTGGGGGGGAGCATGAGCCAGCAGCCGGCTTTTCCTCTCCGCCGCGGCTAGCGAGCACTACTGGCTGGACGCGGCCTCCCTCCCAGCACGATGAAAGGAGCTCTATCAATGTCAGAGACTCAGAATAATGATGAGCGCCAGCGCGCCGCAGCTTAAAGGGCCCGTGCAGGAAACTGGCGCCCGAAAAAGCCGCTGATGCTCAGTGCAGGGTGGCCCAACCGGCCCGGGTCCTTCTCGGAGCAGACGCAGGCCCAGATTACAGAGGAAACCCTTCCCCGAAGATCTCAGCCCTGGATGGAGGGAGCTGCCCCTCTGGAAAGGCGTCCTCTCGGGGAGGGAAGGGGGCTTATTCTCCCCAAGGCCTAACCCCGTACTGCCCCCTCCAACGGGGGGACACCGAGGAGCCGCCTGGCAGGTGATCTGAGAGCCCGATCCCTGCAGGGCCGTATCCCGCTGCTCCCGCCTGCGCTGCCTCGGCGTCCTTGGCCCGTCCAGCCCTTGAAGGGGCTGTGACTGAAATCTTAATGCTACCGAGACACAGTAATTGGCACCAATTAAATCGCTACATTCATGTTTGAATTGCTTTAACTGGCGAGACACACTGTCTTATTTATACAGAAAATATGTTTGCTTGTGGGTTTGTCTGAACCGGGGCCAAGAGAAAATAAACCATCTCGAGCCTCTCTTTCTGAAGGCGCATTCTCCCCTTGCACATTGGAAGTCACCTCGGTTTCAAATTCTTTGCCTCGGAAATGGCCGCAGAACAGAAGAGCCGCTTGTGTAAAGGGCTGGGGGCTTTTGGGGCCTCACCTCCTGGCCCCGGCCCCCGTCTGCAGAGCGGCCAAGTGCCCCACCGCCACCCCCGTCCCGGGCAGGCTGGTCGGGGGGACACGGGAGGGA